AGATGAAAAGAAAGAAGAGAAAGACGGACACAGATACAGAGAGAGAGAGATACAGAGAGAAAGAGAGAGATTTTGAATGTTGTAAGACCAGCTGCTGCTTTAAGACGTTGACAGTTTGATGTAAACTTATGGCTGTTAATGGTGATATCATCTGAAACATCTATGCAGAGTCGTCAAAAGCCACCGCCCAGAAGTTCAGTCAACTTACCCTCACCCCTCCCCCCACTATAGATCATTTAGGAAATATGTTTTTGCAGTTTTTTCACAGCTCCCTGCCACCCCCCCTGTGACAGACTTAGAGCTCCCCCTAGCAGGTCTGATCCAGCAAACCCACAGCCAGACTCCGCCGGGAGAAAATAATGAAATAAACACAGAACACAAGATTGATTCTAACAGCACACAACAAAACATCCCTAACAAAGACAAGTTCAGGCACATGAGGACGTGCTTCCCGAAGCCGCTGGCCCGCACTAAATTATTCACAAAGTCTTTCAAGATGCTCCCTGTGTCTCTCACCTACAGGCCAGCCATGCAAATGGTGCAAAGTGTAAATGGTACACCTTCCACTCGGCTTCTAGACACACTCGTTTTCTGTACGTTTTGTTGGCTGACGATTCACAGGTCTGTCGGCGTCGGTGTCAGTATGAATCTCTACCGGGTCGTTTTTAAATCATGAGGTTACGATGAAAGGCACAACATAAACAGAATGCAGAAAAAGGAAAAAATCAGAAATGAAGGAAATAAACGGCTCAACAACACAAACCATGAAGCGTCAATTATGCTTAATTCTGTTCATGTACATATTTAAATCTATTTAAAATATATTTAAGGATTAAAAATGGAGTTTCGAGTGGATCCAACGTGAAACATGAATCTGAAATTCACAGAACAACTTCATAACTCCGCGCTAGAAAACATTCGCACATTTTCAGCTGATTTCCTGCGTTTGAGGATGAGATCTGTGAACTGACTTCTGGTTGTTGTTGTTTTTTTTTAACTGAGCTGAAAAAGGCACGCTTTATAAAAACAAATCAATCAAATTTAGGAAAAATTAGAAAAAAAAACTTTTTTTTTAATGTAGTGTATATAAGGCCACACTTCACACTACCACCCTCACAGTAAAATGTACACCTGATAACGTTGTTACGCCTAAGAAATTCTTAAAAAGACAAAGGCTCACGCATGCTGGCCCATAAGACAGTGACCTTAAACATGAGCACATGCCTGTTCTAAGAAAAAAAGAAAGAAAGAAAAAAAGGTAGAAATACATGAGATTCCAGTGTGGTTCCTTCACAGGCCTTTCTAAAGTTTCCAAGATACACTGACAGACATGCGAAACACATTCACACAGTCGCTGATCATATTTCACACCACATTCAAGAGCAAAAATATATATATACACACACACACACACACACACACACACACACCACCTCCATGCTAAGCCAGTAAAACTACTGATGTGCAGCAGTGCAAACTTTGCTGTCACTCGTGCTGAATTAACTTGCTACTGAACCTCTTTCACACAGAGAAATTGCCTTTTACTGACATGGGGTAATCCAGCAACGGCACGCGGTTAACAGAATCTAAATACCGCAGAATACATGCTGACTACCAGACATTATACACACACACACACACACACGCACACACACACACACACACAGAGTTTCTCTCTCATACTCACACAGTCTGTGCACTCTAAAGACGTCCCCATAAAGAGCCCACACTATTTCAGACTCGTCTACACCATCTTTTTGAACTAAACCGGGCCATGAGAGACGGAGTGAAGAGCAAATGTGAATTTTGACAAATCATCTTATTTATATACGTATACACTTCCTTATTAATCTGCTCAGTCGAGGCAAAGCTGAGCACAATGTGTATTCAGTACTGTGCACAAGTCTTTGGCACCTGATTCTGATTAAACTACATTTAGAAAGCTGTACTTATGTTTGAATAATTACAAATAAAAGAAACATTAGCACGAAAAGTACTGTCAATATTTTTGTTTAACCAACTTACAAACGTCTCCCGAAAGCAGCTCAGTATTACGTCAAGCTATTATACAATACATGGTTCTGATATGCTAATAAGGAATTTGAACAAAACTATGTGACAGTTGGAGCATCGAGGAGAAAACTAGGTTTATTTATGATCATTTGTATTTATTCTAAAGTTATATGGTGTTTTTTAACAGGCAGAAAACATACATACTGGCAAGATAAATGGTATAAAATAAATTGCTTATGTGTCTAAGACTTCACACACACACATGTATATATCTATCTATACATGTCATATATATATATATATATATATATAGATATAGATAGATAGATAGATAGATAGATAGATAGATAGATAGATATAGATATATAGATAGATATACACATACATGCTCACTGTATATAGATATATATGTGTGTGTGGTCTAATCGATTTTGCATGTAAGTCTACATCCTACATCTATCTTACACACTATAAACAAAGACGTTCATGACATCTGTCCTAACAACACTCTCTCCTCTCTCACTCTCTCTTTCTCTCTCTCTCTTTCGCACATGAAGTCTTTAAGGAGAACAATGAACTCTCAGGAAGAACACACTCCTGAGCCCAGATGAGTATCTGCCAGCACCTGGCCGGCGTGAGCCCTGCTCAAAATAAAACACGCTGGTCTTCATTCATTTCAGTGTGAAGGCCCTCAGTGCTTCTAACAGCGGACAAAAAAAAGACATGTAGTAAGAGTATCTGATATGACTTTTTCTCTCTATCTCTCTCTTTCTCTCTCTTTCTCTCTCTCCCCACTCTCCCCCTCTCAAAATAAAAAAGAACACTCAGTGTCAGTTTTGGTGACTGCTGCGGTGTGTGTGTACGTGTGTAAGTGTGTGTGAGAGGCGAGTTGCTCGGTGTAATCGGAGCGTTCTGGTATCCGAAGGCCAAATTAGTTACAGCAGCAAACGTACGAGCTGATGAGGATGATGATGATGGACCGAGAGCGCTACTATAACGTCAAATCTATCAAGAGCTCGTTCCCATTAAGACATATGCTCACTTTCATGCAAGGGTGCAAGGGCACATGACAAATACAGCAGACTGTAATTCATTTCTGTAAATCTGGACTGTTATTCTGTATGAGTTTAATGGAATATGCACCAAAAAATTTCATTCATCATCTGTTCTGAAGCTAAATTCATGACAACTCTGCTGTAGAAAATGTTTACAGTTCAAGTGCATAAATGTCAGTAATAGAACCAGTCGACAAAAAAAGGCTCCCCAATGAAGCTACACGTGCGTACGCTTAGAGAAAATGATTAGGCCGTTAGTGAAAGAACGGTGTGTGGGAGAGAGCAGCGTACACAGTCCTAACTGCACAACACAAAGCAGATTTGGGTGGCATTACATCACTGCTTTCTGTTATGAATTAGCTGGATTAAGGCTTGAAGACTATACTTAAATACTGGAATATATTAAAGGAAAAAAAAAACATTTGCCTTTGAAGTCATTGTTATTTTAACCCTCCCTTAGATCAAATCTAGAAAAAAAAACAATCCGTATAAGTAGGTGGTCTGGGAAATGTATACCTTTGTATGCTGTTTAACATACGGCTACTATGGCTTTACTATAATCATTATAATCTTGCCATAGCTGAATATTTTGGCTAAAAGTGGCCTGAGGTTGTGTGCTCCGATTTGGGGGTGGAAAAAAGTGATGCACAAACTTTGTAAAGCATTTTCTTTCTTGAATCAGTGACCACTTTTGCCTTGCATCGTGCAGCGTCCATAGCGGCTCTCCTACGGCTGCAAATTTGCACATTTTAAGGGGGGGGGTTTAATCGTTTAATCATCAAGGTGCTTTGTGTTGGTGCAGAGAGGTAAGAGCAGGCCTCAGTTCTCAGTTCTAAAAAAAAACTGCACGGTTGCATGAGAATGGTTTGCTAAACCAGGGAGAGAAATAGCAAAACATGACAACTGAGATACTGAGAAAAAAAAGGGAAAAGGCAGGAGCCTCTACCTTTGAGCAGATGAGCTCCAGCTCCATTACACCCTGCATTTCAGTCCATTCAAGTCGTGTAAATCCTACAAGCAAAGCTGCAGGGGACCCTCTCCCACTGCAAGCACTGCAAGTGCCACCCTCGGGGAGGAAAGAAGAGCAAAACTTCTCTGAAATCTACTAAAACGTGCCGGAGCGTCCAGCCAGTTCAGCACGGGAGATGAAGGTGAGATAAAGGCTGCAGCAAATCAAACCTGCAACCAAAACACTCCACAGTGCCGTAGAAGAGGGACGTAGCGCTGCCTACACGAGTCTAACGCGCTGTTCGTGTATATAGAGATCTTAATTCACCTCCAGCGCTTCACCAGCTTCATATTTACACATAGACTAACACACAAACTTCTCCACGTGACTCGGTGCGCGCAGAAATACCATTTAAAAAAAAGGTGCTACTCTTCAAAATTAAGGTTTAAAAAACACGCTGTTCTACAAAATTAAAGTTTTTTGTAAAAAAAAAATTAGGGTTTTGAAAAAGGGGACTTTTTTTTCAAAATTAAAGTTTCAAAAAAATTGTCCTTAAAAATAAACGCTATATTTTTTAAGGTGGCCACAGAATCACACCGTGCAGACGAGCTCGAAACTTGTCTGATTCTTGCGATAATTTAAATATAAATATAAATATAAATAAGAACAAGAATAACAGCAAATAAATAAAAGTAGTGCTAATAGTGAAAGCAATTATTTGCCACTTTTTTTGCAGCACACAAAACTCACTCGCCTGTCCATCTCTCTCCTTTTTCTTCTTTTTTTTTAAGTGTATAACTTCCTTTTAAGAGACGCGAGGAAAACGACAGCACACTGCTCAGATTTTTCACTTTAATTCTTCGTAAAATGAGGCGCGACAAAACAAACCTGCACTTCCCCTCCTCACTAATAACAGCCCCGTAACGCTACTACTGATAGCAGTGATAGTGCATGGAAAGGCACTGAAGCCCGGAGCTACTCACGCGTCCTGCTCTCTCTCTGCGACAGATGCTGAGGGTTTCCCTGCTTGCGACGGGACATTGCCCTGGCATTTACACTGGCATCGCCCGGAGACGGTGCGCAACGGACGGCGAGGTGGCCTCTCCTCCTCCTCCTCCTCCTCCTCCGCCTCTCCTCCTCCTCCTCCTCCTCTCCTCCTGTCCTCCTCTCCTCCCTCTTTCTCCTCTTCACTCACTTTTTCCTCGTACTTTCGAAAAAAAAGCAAAAATTAAAAAACAAAAAAGCAGCCCCGGCACGCGCAGCAGCACCTCAAAAAGTGGCAAAGTAAGAGAGAGAGCGCGCGCGCTTGCGAGAGAGAGCGAGAGTTGTAGTAGTCGAGAGTCTTTCTTTTTTTTCTTTGCCCCGTGCCCACACTCAGCTCAACGTGAGTGGCACGAGCGCTGCAACTCTTTGCCCCGTGGACATCAATTCAATCTTAGGAGAAGAAGAAACAAAAAAAGAAGAAAAAGAAAAAAACAGCGCGCACAAAAAGAGAGAGAACAAGAAAAAAAAAAACAATTCAAAAATATCCTCGTGCCCTCGAGTGCCAGTTGGTGGGTGCCAACCAAGCCGGTCTGCGTGGAGGTGCCGGAGAGAGAAAGAGGTGCCAGGCAGGCTGAGCGATCAGGCTGAGTGTGTGCGTGCGTGCGTGTGCGCGTGTTATGTGAGGGATGAGGCGAGCTGAGGGCGAGTCTTCTTATGGCCCCGAGTTTCGCCTCTGCAGCCTCTCCAAAGCGCGTGGCGCACGAGACTGGCTAAAGCAGACCTGCACACGCTCTCTCTCTCTCTCTCTCTCTCTCTCTCTCTCTCTCTCTCTCTCTCTCTCTCTCTCTCTCTCCCCCTCTCTCTCTCTCTCTCTCTCTCTGAAGACGGCGGCTCAGTCCCTCGGTCCTGCTCGTTTCGCCCCCCTCCTCCACCTCCTTCTCCCCCTCCTCCTCTGTGTGTGTGTGTGCATGTGTGTGCGTGCGCGTGCGTGCGTGTGTGTATGTGTGTGTGTGAGGGCTGCCTCCGTTCAAGTTCAAGTGCGGACGTGACGTTTGAGTCCAACGGTGGGAAAGACAGAGAGAGAGAGAGAGAGAGAGAGAGAAAGGGAGATAGAGTAGAGGGAGAGTGGTGCGTGTGCAAGTGCACTGGGGGCGACTAGCGGTGGCTCCTTGCAGCTGTGGGACGGAGCGGACAGCGAAGCTGCTGTACGCGCTTTTACGCGCTTTTACGCGCTTTTACGCTTGGGCGCTACTTTTCCAAACATAGTTACGAGCGGCCTCCTGCACAAAAACGGCCACGATACTTAATCTACAGTGACCTAAAGGGGTGTTTCGGACAAAAAGGACTATAATAGGAGGTGGGGTGGGGTGAGGGGTTAGTGGTACCTTGATACAGGTGATGGAAGGGAATGGTAACGGAATAAAAGTGTATGGGTTTGTTGTGGGGCGTGTTACTACTGACCATTACTAAAAGTGGGCGAAGGGGGGGTCACCTGTATGTGTGGTCAGTCTGGACTTTTGTGGAATGTGATTTATTTTTATCCACATGTCACCTAATTCAAGTCATGGGCTGACATTACATTTCAAAGTCTGTAGTTTTTGTAGGAAAAAAAGAAAGAAATTTAGTGAGAGCACCAGATACGTACCAATTTTTTTTTAACCTCCTTTTGAGATGCTACATACTTTGAAATGTCCAGGCTAAATAAAATACAACATAAAAGAAAATAAATAATTAGATAGATAGATAGAGATAGATAGATAGATAGATAGATAGATAGATAGATAGATAGACAGACAGACAGATCCCTACACACTTTCAAATATTCAGGCTAAATAAAATAAATAGCAATATTAAATAAAAAAAAATTAATTAATTAATTAATTAATTAATTAATACATAAAAAACTAGATGTTATAACGTGATCCAGTTTCTACCAGAATAAGGCACTAATTGCAAACCTAACTGAGGCACTTCTTAAACTGTTTAACCTTAAACTAAAGAAGGAGCACCAAATAAAGGAATGGATGTTCATCCTTTCAGGCTGTTTGTAAGAGTTAAAGTCTGTGATGTGGAGGGAAATGCTTCTAAACAAGAGCACCCACCGCACCCCTTCATATAAAACCCTGGAAATGAAAAAATGTCTTTATGATAATTTGATTAAGGTCTTGATATATTAGTGGCTATTTAGGAGTGGACATTACTGTCAATAACCCTGACTAACTGGCTGAAAGGAAGCTCAGAGGTCCGCAGTGAAATGTTTCCCACAGGTTAGGTTTTAGTAACAGTTGGCATTATTTATTTAATACAAATGTACAACATTCCCTTTAAAAAAAATTGAAGGAGTGAAGCATGTGGTGTCTGAGCAGTGCCAGCCAGAGCAGGAGGAAGATCACGGACATCTTCCCTGTTTAAGTGACTGAGAGGGATCAGGAAAATCATAGAGAACCTAGATGAGCTGGGCTGCATGTGTTTATCTGCTGACAATGTCCAGCAATCCATTTAGGAGCCTAAACTTTAACACAAGCAAGCATATCCCACTGTCAGATCTACAACGGGGGCATGATGAGCTAGAGTGGGCATAAGTGAGTCTATTTTAGTAGGACTGCTGTGAGCTGAGAACATTTCTGCAGTATCACTGATGCTTCTGTATGAGCCTATTAAGTTCAAGCCTTAGACAGATGAAGAAAAGTTTATAGGAGATCCAGAAGAATTGAGTGTCACTCTACATTAAAGTGACATTACTGTCTGACATAATGGGAGTCACAAGTCCCTTTTTGTTCTTATATTATCATATGTATTCATATAGATGCTATTAGATACAAAAGAAGACCAGTATGTACATTTCCAACACACGTTCTTCCTGTTTTAGAACAAGTTTCAACCTTTTAAACAAATATTACAGCACTTCACTGCTTTGATATATTGTGATGCTGTAATATCTCCCCTTCCCTGTAAAAGCTACCCTGTAAAAATATGAAAATAGATGAAATATGATATGAAAAGCAGTGAATTCCCCCAGCTGAGAATCATAGTGTGTTCTATATGATGCGTAGAGTAGGCTGCTTTATTCACTTCTCCACATTAATGCCTCAAATCCTTCTCATTTCTCAAGATCACACACTGTTTCTGAAAATGGACTCTTTTAGGTGGCATTGCAGTTGAAAAAAAAATGTTAAAAGATGAAAAACAGCCCAAAATGTGCTACATATTCACACATATCCACACACTCACAGCTTTAAACAGCCGTTTTTATCACTGAAGTAAGTTTACATTGGATTACTTGATTAAAAGCTTTTGGAAGAGATGAGTCTATTCACATCCTTGTCCTTTGGTTTGATTCATGCTATAAAAATATGATAGAGGCTACCAGTAAACAGCATATATGATCATTCTGAATAAAGTGACACTCATACTGAGTGATGTGCTTAGTATGGTTTCAAAAGCAGGAATTAAAAGGACTCAGCGGGCTGTGAAAGAGCTGAACTGATTGGCCTTCACATCGCTGCAGTCAGACTAGGCAGGCTGCTGCTTTGTTGGACCCTTCCACGTGTACTTGACTTGTAATGCAACAGTACCCTCTGTTGGCTAGCAGTGTGTCAGATGTAAACCACAGGGCCGGCTTTACTGAGACACGCGCTTTCAGCTGCAGGAGCACAACATGCATCTACTGAATACTGCTGGTCTCCCTTTTTAAGACCAGTCACTTTAGTATGTTCCCAAAATGAAAATATAGAAAGTGAATATAAATAGTGTGTGCTCCAAATGAGTGGAAAAAGATTGATTGTTTTATTAATAGTAGTGGTAATTGTAATACTACTACTGCTACTACTATTACTACTACTACTACTACTACTACTACTATTAATAATAATAATAATAATAATAATAATAATAATAATAATATCAAAATTGGTGATCCAATTTATTAACTGAAAAAAATAAGTTAATGAGGGCCTCCAACAAAATTTATATAACTTCAGATAATACACTGACAGAATATAATACACATAATTGTTCTGTTAAATTAATATCATGTGTAGCGAACACTCCTGGTCAAATTACATATCACTGCTGTCGGAAAAAAACATTTTTCAGTTTTTGACATAATTTGAAAATACCTCTTGTCCTTTACATTATGTGTAAATTTCATGAGGAACGGACCAAAAGAAACGTCCCAAAACGACTTGGGAAAAAAAATCTGGTTCCATTGACTTACATTAAAAGTAAAGTATGTTTTTTCCATCTCCTGTAAAGTTACCATTTTGGAGATATGACGTTTTGATCTGACAGCAGCGAAAAGTCAAAAAATACATACAAACTCTAATATGGCATTTTCCTGCAAATATTACTGTATAATTTATTTTATTTTCTCTGAAGCATACATTCTAAAATCTGCACAGACCACATTTTGTGCTTTTTCAATATGTTAAATTCAGCAAATAAACCATAATTGTGCATTTAACACCCTCTACAAAGGATGTGTTAGCTTCTGTTCACAAAACATGTAATTTGGCCGCCCAAATTTTTGTTAAAGCACCAAATACAGTGAATAAAACAAATATTAATAATACTATTGATCACACCGCCATTACTACTGCACTTTTATCAAAACAGTTCAATATAGTAGTAAAAAAAAAGGTTCTTGGGCTGTAGTGGAACATTTTGGTGCAATATAGAAACATGCAAAGAATTATTTATGCATTCAAATAGTTCTTTGAGTGTTCGTAGTTCTATTTATGCCCATTGCCTTTACTGAGCAACCCATGAAGGACCATTTGCTACTACGGCTAATAAAAATAAAAGTAAGAAGAAGCCAGATTACACTGCCTCACTTCATATGTTTTACCTTCTTTTATTCTTACACTACATCTACATGAATAATCTGTCCAACCTGTGTGAACTGTTGATTTATGTAATTCTATTTAAAGCAGAGCACTAATTGGCAGTCCAACAGTGTTGATTTATTTCACCCTATTGGAAAAAAACAACATTGTGAAATGTTGAAATGTTCTCACACCTTAGCTTTTTGTGAAGTTGACACATTAAAGTACCAGTAAATGCACACTCAAGCTTAGAGAAGAAACGTTAAAGTCACAGTGACTCTTTTTAAAGAGAAAATGCGAAAACGTAGCACCCAACACTCCAATGTTCACTCTTCCCCTTTCAGCCTCTTTCTGCAGGCT